AGCATCAAGTTAGCCATGTCTGGTACAAGAACATCTAATGTTAATCGATTAACAGACTAATGATGTTTGCTGTACTAAGTACGTAATTATTGCACAATTAGTACGCATCGAAACTGTTACGAACGATGTAATGTGTCTACTTTTACTCTTGCCTCTGGGAGAGGGGGACGCTTCTTATAATTTTGAAAATTGAGAAGCCCACATTTTATTTGAACCTCCGCCGGTTTTTAAAATTCCATAACGGCAAAAAATGCATGTCGTGAAAAAGTGGATATTTATTGAACTTGATTGTGAATTAATACAGTTTTTTTTATCATCATCAGGTAATTTTAGCTAAATAGGGTTACACTTAGCAAATTCTCATGTTTAAGTCTCATTTCAGGCTTAAGATATAACCCAAATCAAAGTTAGGAATTTCAGATTTTTCTCGTTGGTTGCGTCAGCTGAGCCTCACTCCATGCTTAAAATAGGCTTTATTTTTGGTCCAATCTCAGCTACGTTATGCTTATAAGCTTCATTCTAACAAAAAAACTAAAACCCGGTCCATGCTTAAAATAGGCTTTATTTTTGGTCCAATATGAGCTACGTTATGCTAAACGTAACAAAAAAGTGTAGTATATTCTATAATCAGATCATCTCATAAGTTCTGTCCGAATTTGAACTTTTTGTTAAAATGAACGAAATTTAAAGAGTATTTTATAATGTCTAATGGAGCCGAACATTATTTTTATGTTTAAATGCATTTAAACTGATCAAATTTTATTTCAGAGAACAATAAAATTAAATTTTGTTTGATTAAAACTCTGCTAACATGGAAGTACCCAAGAATCATTTGAGGCACATAATGCTTTATGAGTTCAAGAAAGGAAACTCAGCAGCCGAAGCGGCTAGAAACATTCACTCAGTTTATGGAGAGGAATGTGTGAATGAAAGAACTTGCAGAAGATGGTTTGCAAAATTCAGAGGTGGAGAATTCACCCTTGAAGATGAAGATCGAACCGGACGTCCAGTTGAGTTTGATGAATAGCTTCTTGAAGCAGCCCTTGAAGAAAATCCTGCTTTATCAGTTGAGGAATTGGCAGTGGTTCTCAGTTCAAACCATACAACTGTTCATCGTCATCTTCAACAACTTGGAAAAGTTCCTAAACTTTGAAAATGGGTGCCTCATGAATTGTCTGAAAACAACCTCAAATCACGAGTTGACATCTGCTCTTCTCTCCATTCTCGCCAACTTGTTTCGACTTTTTTGGATAGACTTGTGACTGGCGACGAAAAATGGATCTTTTATCGAAATGTTAAGCGTCGTAGACAGTGGTTTGGTAAAGGGAAAGGACCCCAGCCACAACCGAGAAGGGAACTTCATGGGCAAAAGGTTCTTCTTTCAATCTGGTGGGATCACCAAGGAATAATCCACTTTGAATTCTTACCACCTAATGCAACAATTTATGCTCAAATATACTGTCAGCAATTAGATTGTTTGAACCAAGCTTTGAGGAAAAAAAAACCTGCTCTAGTGAATCGAAAGTAGGTGTTATTTCATCAGGATAATGCGCGACCCCACTCAGCAAGAATCACGTCACAAAAGATCGAAGAACTTGGTTGGGAGAAAATTCCTCATCCACCTTATTCTCTCGATCTTGCTAGTTCAGACTATCATTTGTTTCGTAGCTTACAGAATCATTTGGAAGAAACAGTTTTTGTAACACAGGAAGAGGTTAAAACTGATATTTGTGAGTTCTTCGAATCAAAGCCAAAAGAATTTTACAGTAATGGAATTAGTAAGCTTGTTAATAGATGGAAGGAAGTCATAGATAATCAGGGAAAATACATTGTTGATTGAATCTGTAATTAAATGTAACATTTGGTCACTTGTTTTCTTTATTCAAAATTCGGACAGAACTTATGGAATGACCTGATACATTAGAAATCCCAACACATCCCACCCCAATTTATAGGGTTTTTTTTTAATAGACTTTCTGGATCAGTAAAAATTACACGGATTTATTAATAAATCTATAAATGTTACACTCTGTATTTTTAAACTCATGACCATTCCCAGATAATTATTAGAAAAGTGACATAGACTTTATTAAAGATACTGAATTGTCCTCAACAGAACTCTAGGTCAAGAAACATGATTTAACGCCTCACTACCAAAACCGCTTTTATCTAAGATGACACATTCAAATCTCTCTCTCTGCCAAAATCTTTTTGTCTCCCTACGTCCCTCCTCTCCATTTCTGCTTTACTCTCTATGTCCCTCCATCTGCTTCCTTCTCAGTATCTGTGATACCAAGCACGACACGCACCATGCATAGGTGCAAGACTATTAATACATAGATCTGTATCACTTCTAAGTGGACAGTCACAAATGAAAGAGAGAAGCACACTTTTGTAAAGATGATCAAAGTTAAGCTGGTATTTTGTCGTTAACAGAATCCCTATGCACCGAGCGTGTGAGCAACGACGAGGTCTTAGAGAGGTTGCAAGGAGGTTTATACTTAATATCAGGAAGAGGCAGCGGAAGTTTCTGGGACACATAATGAGGAAGGAGGGTCTGGAGAATCTGATACTCACAGGTTGAATAGAGGGAAAGAGAGGCAAGGCAAAACAACACATGACATACCCGGCAGACTTAAGCAAGTGGATGACAGAACGTGGTCTGGGTGAGGAAGCAGAGGCAAGGAACTTGTTGAGAGCTGTAAGGAATAGAGGGAAATGGTGGAGAGCCATGATCGCCTACGTCCTGAAAGGACATGGCACATAAAAAGAAAAAAGATGCACCCAGTCCCCACCCATTTTTTTTATTTTCCGGGAAAATTATCCACCTTTTATTTGATTGCTCCCCGTTTATTTCCACCAATACGTAAGGTTTAAATGAATTTTCATAAATGAAAAATCTTCTTTGAAGCTTTCATTTTAGCTTTAATTGAAAGCTAAAGGATTAAATTTACTATTTCCAGTACGCAGAATACTCAGTAATGTATTTCAAACAAAACTTCTATTGGTTGGAGTCAATTCATTTTTTGGCTAAAAATAGCTGATTAGTTCCCCCTTTTTTTTTTTTTTTTTAGCTATCTAGCAATGCAATGAATTTTTCTTTATTAAAAAAATCTCCCAAAAATAAAAAGTACTTTTTAAAAACTTTATTTGAAGAATATTAGCCGATTTAAAGTATAATTAATCTAATTAGAAAAAATTATTTACTTTAAGTTGAAAATAACATAGAAATGGATTTTTAAACAAACACTAGCGGCGATTAAGTGTTTGTCAATAATAAAACTGTCAACACCTCGTAAATCACTTGAGTGATTTACGAGGTGTTGACAGTTTTATTATTGTTCTACGGAGACTTTATCTGTTAAAAATGAAAATGACGAGTGAACACTCTTTTAATATAATTTTTAAGTACCCAGTAATTTTAAAATGTTGGAAATATTCTCCGTAATATAATTTTAGGAATATTGACTTTAAATTTACTATCATGATCGATAATATTGTGTATAGTCACCCATACTTTCAAAATGAGAACATTTATACACATAACAACATATAAATAAATAAATAAATACTTCACTTAACTTAATAACCTAACGAGGACGGAGTTTGGAAAACATTTTTGAAACTTTATAAATTATTATAATTAAAAAAAAAAAAATGATACAATTCTTGTAAAAATTCATTATTCACCGAAAAAATTTTTTTCTTTAGACTATGTCCTTAATATATAAAGCCAATTAAAAGCGTATCAAACTAAATAGTTAGATAGTTTTATTGTAGTTTTTATTTTAAGTTTCGGAGCAAATTTTCGGGAAAGTAGTTTGGTAAAAAAATTGATGATTTACATTCTCCAAGAAATCCTGCTTTTAACTAATAAAAAAAGTTGGAATACGTAATTTAATTTCTAGAAATTTCATGAAATTAAGTAAGTGATGGGTAACGGATCTAAAAAAAAAAATGTTTTTACGAAGATTTTCTGAAAATAATAATCTAAAAATAAATTAATTCATTTGTGAATAAGTCCTGAAAGATTCATTAAAATCCGACATTTATTTGATTTTTGCAAGATTTTCCAAATTAATATTATTTTACCAGAAAAAAAAATGACAAATGTCCATAAACAAGTCTATGACACCGTTGACGCATAAAAAAAAAATCAAGATTTTTAACCTAAATTTCGAACGTCTTAGAAAGGAGCCAAAACAATAATAGTAAAAAAATACTTTGGTCTTTCCTCTTAATAATAACAAACATTTTGACGATAAAATTTTATTTTTATGAAATTTGGGGTCTTTTTTCATCATGGTATGCTCATTTTTCAGCGAATTACTGGATGTACCATGCGGACTATTGTCCCGCATCTTTGTTGTTATTCTCACAACGTTTCGGCCATTGTGCCCTTCATCCAGCAGTTACCGATCCAGATAACCTTCAGCCTACTGGATTAAAACTTTGCTTCGTGAATTTGGTGACCTCGTAATTGTGATTTTAATTCTGGGTCGGACAATGAGTACTTGGTCTCAGTGAAAACAGGGCGAGCAATAACTGAGCCGTACTAAAAATAAGAACTATCCCTAGACAGTACATACGTTGGATACTATTGTAAATGGGAGTAATATGCTGTCTAAGAAGTCCACCACTAGCAGTGGTTTACCTACTTCACGCCGCTGGCGAGTATTGTATTTTGTTGATGTTATAAAGGTTACCATTTCATTTCCAACCTCCGTTTTGGTTATTCCTCATTCAGTAACCTTTTCTAAGTTGCAACACACACACACACACACACACACACACACACACACACACACACACACACACACACACATATGTGTGTGTGCTTAATTAAAGTCGACTGACAAAATACTGTTTTTCATTTAATTTTTCTTGTGTTCATTTACGTGGCCTTTTCTGGATATAAAATATGTAAGAAAAAGAAAAGAAAACACTTATCCGAACACAAGAATAATTAGATAAAAAGATTTGTCGCAGTACTTTATCAGTAATCTAATCTATCTATCTATCTATCTATCTATCTATCTATCTATCTATCTATCTATACATACATACACACATACATACATATGATTTTAAGGTGTTAAGGAGATAAAAGTGCTTAATATTCAGAATAGAGCGTATGTAGTTATAAGCAGTGTGGACGCAGATCTAGACAGAATTGCGACAGTCTGTTCCATGTTTGAACACATGATCCTGAAGTTTGTGTTCAAGCATGAAACCGACTTTTACCATTCTATATTAAACTGTGTCCACACTGATTATATATATTATATAAGAGAATCATACGATATATAAATTTTGACTGTATATCTGACATTAAATGACAAAAAGTTGTATGAAATCAGTTTAGCTGTACGTCCAGACACATCGGACGCCAGAAATTTAAAATGTAAAGTTTAGTGGCCCCACATTTCAGCGTTTCTTCTTTATGTGTAATTGTAACCAGCGTTTGTTTATATTGTCAGCCCTTTCCTTTATATTTTTTTAAGCAATTCACCTCAAGCAAGGCGAGAGTGCCACTAGAACGTAAGGGGCTACTGAGAGTGTAATTAAGAGAAAAGACTGTGTATGGAGGGGTGAGGAAAGGATAAAAAGAGGGACGGAAGAGGATAAAAAGAAGAATAGGGATCAAGATCAAGGCATCAGAAGATGTCGATTGACATTACATTTAAAATTTTGAAGATTATAGTTATCAGAGAAGCAAGTAAGAGGAAGGGAGTTCCGCTGTCAGGAAGTGCGAGAGAAGAAGCTGTTGGAGTAGAAGAGGCGGTTATATTTAACTGTTTCGACAGTAAAAGGGTGGGACCGAGATGCCAACCTAGTAGCACGCTTAAATTCATGCAGTTGGGGCACCAGTGAAAATAGCTTGTCAGAGCAGATGCCATGAAAATATTTATAGAAAAGACAGAGGGAAGCCACATTACGTCGTTGAGAAAGTGATTAGAGTCGAGACCCCAAGTCAGAACCGATCACATTGCATATCCGACTTTGGATTTTTTTTCGAGAACAATGGGGGCTCCAAGCCATATATGGCAACAGTATTCAATGCATTTATATAATTCCGTAAGGAAAACTTTTGGCGTGGTGTAATGGTTAGCAAGCTTGTTTCGTCAGATCATTTCCGAGTTACTAGTAAGTTCGATCCTCACTGGGTGCCCTATACTTTTGTCCATGTGCCACATTCTAAGCTATGCTTAGTAAATCACTATATAATTCCATCAATAAGAACATTATTTTGTTAGTCTGATGAAATCCTTTTGAGGGATGAAACGCGCTATATAGAGTTCAACCCCATTTTGTCACTTTTTATATATATATATATATATATATATATATATATATATATATATATATATATATATCGGTTTCTTTTTTAGTGTGCGTCTGCTGTGAAGTTTAAATGACTGACAGGTGCTGGAGTTGTAAATGTATCGCAATGGGAAATAGAGAAGAAAGAAAGAAGAGAGAGTGAGTCTCAGAGAAATGGAAAGTTGTAATCTATTCTTCGCGCTTTTTTTTTCAAACGAATTTGGTTTCACAAAGCACATTGTTCTGGATTTATCTTCTATCCACCCGACACTGTTAATCTTTTTTTTTTTTTCAGTACGTAAAGCAAGAAAAAAATTGCTAAAACTAGCAAATATGACGCTCAAACTAGCAATGGTTGTTAAGACAAATGTTAAATCGACAAATGTTATTTTGTTTTAAATTTTTCCATTTTTAAGTATTCCCCTTGCTCTATCGATCTGTTACGGTCGAATCACACTGAAAACAAGGGTTCACATACGATCGTCGAACTGTGGGAACCATTCTGTTCATATCTATCTATCTATCTATCTATCTATCTATCTATCTATCTATCTATCTATCTATCTATCTCAGTCTGTTCATAACTATCTATATATCTACATAACTATCTATATATCCCAGTCTGTTCATATCTATCTATCTATCTATCTATCTATCTATCTATCTATCTATCTATCTCAGTCTGTTCATAACTATCTATGTATCCCAGTCTGTTCATAATTATCTATCTCAGTCTGTTCATATCTATCTATCTATCTATCTATCTATCTATCTATCTATCTATCTATCTATCTATCTATCTCAGTCTGTTCATATCTATTTATCTATATCATTGTGTTCATATCTATCTATTTCTATATATCCCTGTTTTCATGTCTACTTATCTATTTCATATCTAGCTATCTATCGCATTGTGTCCATATCTATCTATCTATCTATCTATCTATCTATCTATCTATCTATCTATCTATCTCATTTTGTCCATCTCTAGCTATCTATATCACTGTGTTCATCTCTAGCTGTCTATCTCATTGTGTTCATATCTAAGTATCTATCTATCTATCTATCTCGTTGTGTTTCTGTCTCATTATGTTATTATTTATCTATTTTAATTCGCCGATAACCGTTATACTACCAGCACATTTTGATCATGTTTTACAATTTTGTCTCTTCGTATCTTCCCATCTATCCTGCTATCATGTTTTTCGCACTATAAAACGTTTCCTAAATTTCGAAAAATTTTAAACCAAAATATTTAAAATGCTTTCATATTAAAAAAAAATTAAAGTACTTAAATATTAAAACACGTAAGTAATTACAAATTCAATTGCTTATATAAATTTTATATATGATTTTCGGAATTTTCAAATTTTAACACATTGACAGCCAACCACGATTTTTTTTTATTATGACCCCGGTTATGAGTTTGCGCTTGACATTTTCAGATACGTTTTCATCTGCGGGCGCCAAAAACAAGTTTATTTGCAGAGAAAACTTTCAGTGTGAAAACAATCTCAAGGCTTACATTGAAGCAAGAAATCAAATCATAAAATTTTTTTATTGCCTAAGTTGGCTATTATAAAGTTAGCGTTTGAAGAATATTATTATTTTTATTGCCTTTGATTTTTGGCGTTTACACATTTCTTTCCGGGTCCCACCCAGAGACCTAAGGTTAGAAATGGCATCATGACACTTTCCACTGACAAAAAAAAAAAAAGAAAAAAGAAAAATATTTTACATAGATAAAGCCCTCCTTAAAGTGTGGGCTGTACTGGTGAGAACAATATTTCTTTGAGGCATGAACTTCCAGGAATCCATTCAATTAGTCTACTGGAATCTTTTCCAACCAATCCTAGGGCTCCAACTACAACAGGGATTGTTGATGTTCCCATGTGCCACATTTCTGAGATTTCGATTTCAAGGTCCTTGTATTTTGACAGCTTTTTGAATATCTTCAAAGATACATTGCAGTCTGCAGGGACTGCAATATCAATAAGGAGGCACTTATTTTGTTTGTGGTCTTTCATAACATATTATTTTATTATTATTATTATTATTATTATTATTATTAAATAATTATTATTAAATAATTGAATTAATTAAATAATTATTATTAAATTCATTTAAATTCATCTTACGCTGATTTCTTTTCTCTGTACTTACGACAATTACATATTTTCTCTTCCTGATTAAATGACACTTCATCTGTTTGCACTAATACAAAAAATAAAACTTGTTCGTTGAAATCTCTAGTTGAGACGTGAGAACAATTTGCAATACACAGTAAACTTAAAGTCGAGTAAAAGGTGTAGTACATGTTGATGGTAATGGAAATATTAGCCGTTTCCTTATAAGGAAACATTTGCATTTATTGACGGATCATCCACTGCTACTGTCGGTTGAAATTTACAAAAACATTTCTATTAAAGCAATTTTTCAGTAAAATGGATTTCTCAAGCCCACTAACTGTTATTGTTCTTTCCAGTAGTAATGAAGGCTTCCTAAGATTTTGTTTGAAATAGTGCGAAACGTTAATAATTTTCTCTTCGATGTGCTTGTGACATCCATTTTAGTTGTTACTGCTGTTGGAAGTCCTCAAATCATGTGGTTTCTCTTATTTGGCACAGCAGTTTTTGATTGTAAAGCCCTAGACCGAGAGTTGGAATGATAGACCACGATAGAACAATAATTATTGCTATCAAAAATATAAAAGTTCATGATATTCTTGTCAGGACCCGGATGAGCTAAAAAATGCGAAATTTTAAGTCGGTCTTTTATAAGTAACATGAACTTTTTATATTTTTTTGATAATAATAATAATAATAATAATATATATATATATATATATATATATATATATATATATATATATATATGAAAAATATAGTTTTAAGGTGTGCTATATTTATGGGATAAAGTGCTCAATATCAGAGGTAGAACGTATGTAAACATAAATATAAAAGTGAACATTGAAGTTTTGGCATGCCGGCCTTCTTCGCAAGCTCCAGGGTTATGGCATTACAGGTCGATTGTTTGACTTAATACAATCATTCCTGTCAAACCGTGAATTGAAGGTCATTCTCAACGGATTCTCCTCCAGTTCCTATCCCACGAACGCAGGTGTTCCCCAAGGCTCCAATCATGGCCCCACTTTATTCCTTATTTTCATCAACGACCATCCTGACGCCATAGATTCCCAAGTTGTTATCTACGCGGACGACACTACAATTTACTCCTGCCTCAAAACAAAACTAGTGTCGGTGACAAAACTAACCTGGCCGTGCGTCTTGAAATGGACTTCCAATCGGTTGTTAATTGGGGCAAGAATTGGCTGGTCAACTTTAACGCCTCAAAAACTAAACTACTCTCTATTAATCACCATAGAGATCCTTCCCTGCCCCCCATTAGAATGTCTGATAGTCAACTTCTTGAGAGCAACTCCCTGCGTCTGCTCGGTCTCACGTTGACTGCTGACCTGAGATGGAACAAATAGATTGAGTCAATTGCTGCGTCCACCGCGAAGAAAGTTGGCTTTCTGTGCCGCGCCAGGAAATTTTTCTCCCTGGAATCGATACTTCAAATATACAAATCAACCATTCGCCCTTGCATGGAGTATTGCTGCCATATATGGTCTGGGGCACCTTCTGTTTACCTGGGAGTTCTTGACAAGATCCAGAGACAGATATGTAATATAATTGGCCCTGATCTGGCATCTCGTCTACAGTCACTCTCTCACAGACGGTCTGTCGCCTCTCTCTGTCTTTTCTACAAATACTTTCATGGTAATTGCTCCGATGAGCTGCTTTCACCGGTTCCCAGACTCCATGAATTCAAGCGCCCTACGAGGCCGGCATCCCGCTCCCACCCTTTCACTGTAGAAGCTTTTAAATGTAGCCGTCTCTTCTACTCCAATAGCTTCATACTTCGCACCTCTCGCCTGTGGAACACCCTTCCCAATTACTGTTTCCCTGAGAGCTATAATCTCCAACTATTCAAATGTAATGTCAATCGACATCTCCAGTTACCTTGATCTATCCACTATCCCTCTCCTCATCTTTTCTTCTATCACTCCTATCTGCTCTTGCTCCAAATCTTCTGCAACCCCCTGCATCCTAGTGTCTTCACACCTTGCGTAATGCTTAAAAAAAAAAAAACACTCAGAGGCGACAGGCTGTTTCATGCTAGACGCAATTGTTAGGCCGCCTGACGATTGCGTCTAGTATGAAACTAATGAAATATATATACATACTACAGTTTAAAAGTTAGAGCAACTCCTGGTAATTTTTTAAATTGGCCCCAAAAGTAATTGTTTTGTACTTTAAAAAAAAGATACAATCTCTCAAAGGACATTTAAATTGATATAATTTTTTCCCAAAACACTATTTTTACGGAGAAGATTTATTGCATATGTTTAAGTCGGTTGTCTTAAATTTAGTATAATATTTATTTTTTTTGACTGGGATCAATGGGGAATATATTAGTACTTATGAGATTTTTAATGACTTTTTCATCTTGTTTATAGTTAGAATGCATTTGATTACGGCATAGTAGGTGATACTTTTACTATGGAAATCAACATCACAACCGAATGCATACTATATTGCAGTTACAATAAGTTTGTCGTTGTAATTTATCCCTGAAGATGATCTTGGAAAAGATTGAAAGTACTTGAGTTAACAAAAACTACGATGCCTTCCTTGATGAATTTCATTTTAACATCAAGAAACTGACAATTGGAAAGGATTAGTATAAAGAGAGAGAGACATGTAAACACCTACGCATATATAAAGTGATTGAGGGTGTGTTTAGGTAGCAATTTTAAATTTATACAAGATTGATTAAAGAACAACGATTTCATTATGTTACGGATCATTTTTCTGGTTTCCGGTAAAAATTAAAATATAAATTGTCCAATGTGTGAGTACTTTCGAATTTCATAAGTCATTATCAATGAGTTTTAATTTTTTTTGTGTGATTTGGCAGATTCATCGCTATTAAAATATCCCGTCTTCACGTGTCATTTTGGTTGGTCTTTAACCAAAGATACAAAATGAAGTATATATATCAATTCGTCCTCTCTATATGTACGAGAGCATGAGTGCGTATTTACATACATACATACACACACACACACACATATATATATATATATATATATATATATATATATATATATATATATATATATATATAGAGAGAGAGAGAGAGAGAGAGAGAGAAACAGACAGACAGACAGAGAGAATGAATACAGAATCCTTAAAAGTTCATTTAGGTGATAATTTATTTCGTGGACTCAGACGTCCATCTCTTCAGACCAAATTTTACAAATAATAAATGGAGATAAATTTATTCAAACACAAGGAAAAAAAAAGAAAAAAGGAGGAGAGAAAAAAGAAAAAAGAAAAAAGGAAAGAAAGGAGTTAAGTTCATGGCTTAACTCCTTTCTTACCATCGCTCACACCCTCTTTCTTTCCCCTCCTCACGTCTATCTCTCTTTCTCTACCCTTAACAAACCTTATACTGAAATCTCTGTCTTACTTTCCCTTTTTCTTTCCCTTTTTAATATTAAAAATTTTCTTTTTTTTCCGTTTTTCTCCTTCCTCTCTCCTCTTTTTTCTTTTCCATTTGTGTGAATAAATTAAACTCCATTTATTTTGTAAAATTTGGTCTGACGAGATGAATGTCTCAGCCCACGAAATAAATTATCACCTGAATGGATTTTTAAGGATGCTGTATTCATTATTATATTTGCTTTTTCTTACATTGAGCTCTCTTTGTATTTATATCCTCCTTGGGATTTTCCCTACTAATAATCAAGTGATATTATATATATATATATATATATATATATATATATATATATATATATATATATATATATATTCTAATTAACACAGACACCACATTGATTCTTGATTGTGACTGCAAAACTTTAAAGCACTCTATTCACAACTTAGACCACAATACTCAATAAATTATCCGAAAATTGGA